TCTAATCACTCACGGCTGGTCAGATAAAGTAAAATAGGGGTCATATCGCTTTTCGTCAAGAGGTTAGATCACACTTTAATTAGGAGTCAGATCGCACTATAATTAGGGGTCCAGATTGCACCTCAATTTTTCACGAGGTGTCAGATGAACTACATTAGGGGTAAGATGGCGATGTAATTAGGGGTGAGATGCAGCTTTAATTTCTCACGGCGGGCAAGATCAACTAAATTAGGGGTCGGACCGGGCTTTAATTTAGGGGGTAGATGGCATTATGGCAGTATAATTAGGGGTCAGATTGCGCTTGAATATCGTAATTGTGGTCGGATCAACTAATCAAATTTAGGGGTAAGATGTCCGGTTAAGATGAACTAAACAAGGGGTCAGATTGCATTTCAATGCAATCGGAGCGATGGTGCTGTTGACGGTGTCTTGGGTCTTGTAGAAGACCAACGGATTGTTGTCCGTTAGCCAACGAAATTGGCTTCGACCAAGGAGGAAGTGCTGCCACCGCTTGAGCGTGTGGACGAAGGCGAGGAGCTCCTTCTTGCGCGCATCGTCAATGGAATGCACGAGTGGCACTTTCTTGCTGAAGTACTCGACCGGGTGCCAGTCCACACCATCGTGTTGCTCGAGGACTGCACCAATGCCATAGCCTGACGCATCCGTAGTGACACGTGTAGGCGCGAGCGGGTCGTATATCCGCAAGACCTCCGCAGACAATAGCGCGGATTTGAGAGCGAGGAATGATCCCCGCGCCTCCTCTCCAAAGTCAAACGGCCGATCCTCGCACTGAAGCTTGTTCAAGTGGGCCGCGATCTTGGAGTAGCCTTTGATGAAGCGCTGATAGTAGCCGGTAAGACCGAGGAACGAGCGGACATCCATGACGTTTCGAGGCTCCGGCCACTCTTGGACGGCCTGAATCTTGTCCGATAGCGGACTGATGCCCTCCGGTGTGACAAAATGGCCCAAGTATTCGAGCTCTTGCCGGACAAATTCGCACTGTCCGGCTGTAGACGAGAATATCGTCTAAGTAGACCAGCACGAACCGGTCCAACATTGCACGGAACTCATTGGTCATCGCCGCCTGGAATGTCCCCAGGGCGTTAGTGAGGCCAAAAGGCATGACCACCCACTCAAAATGCCCGTACCGCGTCTTGAATGCGGTTTTGTAGCGATCATTCGGCTGACTCGAGATTTGATGATATCATGATTTTAAATCCAACTTGGAAAAATACTTCGCACCGCCCAGCCGCTCGAGAAGATCGTTGATGCGAGGAAGAGGCCCCGCATTCTTGACGGTTTGCGCGTTGAGCTTGCGGTAGTCGATACACAATCGTAGATCCTTGTTCTTCTTCCTGACGAAGAGAAGAGGTGCTCCATATGGGGAGCTACTCGGGCGGATTCAGCCCTTGGCCAACAAATCATCGAGTTGTGCGCGTAGTACCTCAAGCTAGCCCAATCAATGTTTGAACTCAGACTAAACATGCATTGTATCCATCACGAAGTGTGAAGGAGCCTGGCGCTACACACAGGAAGAAAGCGCCGGGTCCAGACATACACAGACGAAGAGATAAGGAACAGACGAAAGGAGGGAAGAAGATGGGAATGTCGTTAACACCAAGTCTTGGTCACCAATCCCAAATAGTCCCTCGTTGCCATGTCTGAACCCTCGAAAGTCGAGTCTGGATCTAATGTCACCAAACTCTGTATCTCTTCTCTCATAGTCTGCAGATGCAGTGAAGTCAGAAGTGAGAGGGAGAGAAGAGATGGTGGACTGAGAAGAAGAAGAAGAAGAACTCTCTCTCTCTCTCTGTTATGAACCAAGTACTAACCTGTGATGTTGGCGCTGTGCTGGAGGTACCTCGAAGACGAAGCTGGAGCAACGGCGCTGCAGGTAGGTACCTCTGGCCTCCGCCCAAGCTCTCTCTCTCTCTTTCTAGTACTACCTAGCTATGGCGCCCAGCGCTGGAGACTACAGTTACCTACTGCGCCCAGCGCTGAAGACTACTAGCTAACGCTACCACTACGACAACGCAGCGCTCCCTCCAGAGTGCTGCATCCGAATCCTGAAGACTACAACTACCAACTGCCTCCCTTGGAAGTGCCTGGGAAGTCCTATGTACTACCTCGGCCTGCCTCCTGACTACTGGAGGGCAGTCAGGCCGAGGAGGCAGCTCTTGCCAATGCCGAAATGTGCAAGGGGCTGGCGTGCAGCAGCCTGCTTGAGGCTGGCGTGGGAAACAGACTAATAATAGTCTGTTTCCGAAACCCTGGTTCGGTGCCTGAGTTTCAGGGCCGGTCGTTCTGATGAACGACCGAAAATGGCCCTTCGTTTCAGGCTAAAAAGGCTGTTGCCATTTTTAGTCTGAAACGACCAGGGATAGGCCCTGGAGTTCAGGCTTTTGGCCTGAACCGACAGGGGGCCTGTAAGCCCTGGATTTCAGGCTTTCAGCCTGAAATTCAGGTTTTCGGCCTGAAGTTCAGGCTTTTGGCCTGAACGCTGTCGGGCCTGCAAAATGGTCGTCGGGCCTGCAAAATGGCCCGTGTGTGCACGCGCTGCATGTAACAGTCCGTTAGCCCATCAGGTCTTGAACCTTCCCTCCACCTCGTTAAGCTGCAAGTCTCTCATCTCATTAGTACCAGCAAGAGACTGCAGCCACCAAGTGTGCATTGGCGAGCAAAAAGTTGGCACATACCACATGCTTTTCCACTTTTGGCTATTGGTTGAAGTCCGTTAGACCCTCTGGAAATCCAGTTTCAATTCCCTTCAGCTGTCTTCGGAACAATTCTACTCTATACCCCACGGTCCCCCAGGAGAACACAATTTGTGGGCATGCATGCTCCCATATGCACGTATGGCCCATGGTGACAATGCCGCATTGTCATAGCTTTCTTCAGTTGCTACGTTTTGGAGATGTACACACCACCACTGTTTTGCCCTTGGTCTACGTGGCTATGTGTGGCATCATTGATCTGCATCGCCATGGGGTCTTGCCCTTGGTCTGCGTGGCTGTGTGTGGCATCATTGATCTGCATCGCCAACGATTCACCATGGTATCCCGTGGAGATGCCTCGGTCAAAGGTGCCAGAGAGAAGCAATGGACTGCACTGTCATGGACCCCGGGTGCCCAAGTTCCCCTCTGCTCTGCTAATTAAACCCCCCTACTATACGCATACGCTGGTTCATAGCAAATAGCAAAACTTAAAGAAGTCTTCGCGCTCGAGCAGGAATCGGAGAGCAAGACTTTCTTAATGAATGACGACGAGCGATTTCATCGCCTGAGTCGATCGAGGAGGCAGAAGGGCAACACTGGGATGCGCTATGGGTCCAGTTCTTTGATTATTGGCACATCATGTCCTCCATGAGAGTAAAGCCGCACATTTTGTGCTAAATGAGCCTAATTCTATAATTGAGCTTTGCCTTCTTTTTTTTCTTTTTTTTTTTCTTTTTTTTTTTTTTTTTTTTAACATAGCCTTTGCCTAACAGCTACTTCAGTTACTTCCTTTCATCTTCTTTTGGATTTTGCAATATTTAGCTCACAGAATACGACTCGTGCCTGCCATGAGACCCGCAAGGAAGGGAGAGGTAGTTCCTGTTTCGCTTAAGGAACAACCCTGGAAGCTAACCAGCTTGCAAGTTACTGATAGCTGAAGCTGCTGAACTCATCCTTAGCTATTCCTGATTGGATGGAGCACTTGAAGTCTATACTACTCTATAGACTCTAGTATAGAGTCTATACTATCGTTGACATGTAAAATAACTTTCATCTCCGAATCAGTCAAAATTGCAACGAACGACTTGCTGTTAATCTTTTCTAGACGTCGGCGCCCACATGAACTGAAACCTGAGTGACCTTTGAAGGTGTACGAAACACTCCTCCACTCACCCCCACTGCCCACTTCTTTCTTTTTTTTTTTCGCTTCCAAGGTAGCTGGTTTATTAGTACGACTGGAAAGCGGGCTCTGTGTCTCATAACTACAAATACCCATGCAATACTTCCTTTCGTTAGTGTCACAAGGGACCCTGAGACGGCAGCATGTTCATTACTTCCTGCATCAGGAAGGATGCACTACCGCTTTACCCTTTCTTTCGTTGACTTGCCTAGCCTGCTTCCTGCGGAGAATTCCACTGTCCTTTCTCTTCTATTACGACCACAAACTCCGACTCGTTCGGAATTGCGAATGAGTGATCCATGTGGAATGCGCACCACTGTTTTGACTCTGAGCTGGCAGTCAAAGACTAAGATAAGCAACAGAGACCTCTGGAGAGGGGAGGTGGGGGGGGGGGGGGGGGAGGAGCAAAACAGGGTGGAAAATGCCGATACATCAGGGAGGGGAAAAGGCGGGGGACAAGCTGGATGGGGCCGCTGCAGTCCTGACAGGCGGTCAGGGTGGGTTTAAATAACTGGGATGACAACAATCGAACGGGCAGAATTGTGGCTTGTTTTACTGTCCACCTGACGTCCTGTGGGACATCCGTTCAAATTGGTACGATACAGAGAAGATTAGCATGGCCCCTGCGCAAGGATGACACACGTAAATCAAGAACTGGTCCGACTCCAAATCGAAAAGAAGAAGAAGAAGAAGAAGAAGAAGAACGGACCTGGCCGGCCCATGGCATCACTGTTCTTAGTTTAGGAAGGGAGAAGCACGAGGATGCACTATATAGCCATGCGCCAGCAACAAATGTGTGTTTAGTTGGGGCTGAAGGGTGGTACAACACGATTGCGTAGAAGCGGGGTTTGGCTTTTAACTCTTCGCCTCAGTCGACCCCTTTGCGTGTGTATGTTAAGACCATCGTTTGGCGGCATTTGACCTGAATGAAAGTTATGAAACAGATTCGACATTGTGTTTTTTGTTTTTCAGACTTTTTCTCCGGCCATCAACTACTGTGTCTTCCTCTGTACTACAAACGGATTATGCTACTGTTTTATTGTGAACGGTAACGAGTTAACCACTTCTCCTACTGGTTGGTCTTTCTACCGTTTTGCCTGATACAGACAGATATGAGGGAAGGTTGTCGACTGTCATTGTATATGTTTTATCAGCGTTCCTGTGGTTACCACTGTGATATGCTACTGCTTTGTCAAGAGAGACGGTTCTCGTCATCATCGCTCAACCCATCTTGTCGCTTGGTATCTGGGTACTGCTGCTCTTCATGGCTGTCATGAACGTCGGCACGTCGTAGCTGTGCTTGTATTGGTGCCCGTCTCAAGATAGCTGGGCAGACGGCAGCGTGAGGGTGTCTTTTGATGTCATGGGATGGTGCCCACTACTTTTCTAGTGTGTTTATAAGATCCACTGGATGAGGGACTGGCGACCATGGGGATGTGAGGCCAGAAGCTGTCATGGGCATCATCACGTAGTTGTGCTCGTGTTGGCTCTGGTCTTAAGATGGCTCAGCAGACGGCAGTGGGAGGGTGTCCTTTGATGTCATGGGATGGTGTCCACTATTTTTCTGGTGTGTTTACAAGTTGTACTGGACGAGGGCCTGGCGACCATGGATGTGAGGCCAGAAGCCGTCATGGGCGTCGTCACGTAGCTGTGTTTGTATTGGTGCTGGTCTTGAGGTAGCTCGGCGGACGGCAGTGTGAGGGTGTCTTGTGATGTCATGTGATGTGTCCACTACTTTTTTAGTGTGTTTACAATTTCCACTGGATGAGGGACTGGAGACCATGGATGTGAGGCCAGAATGACAGACATGCAATCTCATATATATATTTCGTGAGAACAGGGGTCAGTGCTTCGAAGTGGAGTGCTTGAAGGGGTGATAAGCGAGGGTGTAGCTGAAGACAATTGGTAAGGGGGGTGGGGGGTTGGGGAGTGGCAGCGCGTATACGAATGCATAAGTGCCCTCGTGCACGGTTGTTGATGGTACGACTGCATAAGAACGGAATATCTACCAACAATATATACGAGTACTATTATATGGGCACTGTGGGGGCAAGAGATGTGGTTAAGCTTATCAGTAACATCTCGATCTCCTAGCATGGGTTGGTCCTTCTGTGTAGTGACACGCTCGTCTAGAGACCTACTGTAAATTTCGATACTCGTCAATTTCTAGTAATTTTCTACCCTTTCTTGTTCCCCTTCCTTTCTGGCCCGGTGCCTTTCTCCATCTCTCTTTTTTTTTTCAGCCTGTCCGTCCGATGAATTGACATGCCAGTGCTTGCACTCAGAGATGCTTATGTATTGTCGGTTGACTGTATCATGGGAATGATGTAATCTTTGTGAACGAATTCACAGAGTCTGATTTTTCTTTCTTATTTGTCCAGACTCTAAAACCCTGCGCTGCTCGCATAAAACAAATTAAAAACATGTCTGTTTTATTTTTTTTCCATTCATCTGGCTAGTTCTGGATTCGAACTCAGGTCTGTGTTTCAACTGTTCATTGGTGTATTGACTGAACGAGGCCCGTTGATCTGGGATTGTTAATGAAATTTCCATTCTCAGGTTTTTCTTTTCTTGCTCGTCCGGATCACACAGAATTGTGCGAAATACAGAGTTGCACAGGCCGGCGGTCGGCGCCCCTTGATTGGTCGG